CCCTGTCACCTCCATTCATTACTCAACTGGCTGCAATCCAGCTCCGTCCGAATCTTCCACACTGAATGAACTGCTTTCACTGATAATAGTGATGGCAATGTAACAGGTCACATTCGTGAGGCACCTGTTATGTACCTGGTACTGCTCTAAGCATTCCACTTGTATTAGTCCACTATTCCTCCTAACAACCCGGAAGTAGATGTTACTGAGACCCTCACTTTAGTGAGGAAATGGAGGCAGGAAGGGGTTAAACAACTCAGCGGAGGCCACACAGCAACTGTGGCAGAGGCGGGCTCAAACCCAAGATGCCTCGTTCCAGAGCCCGGGCTCTTCCCATTCCTGTAATATGGTCATCAATTTTCTTCTGGCTGCAAAATTCAATGACATTTTCCAATCCTTGTTTGATTTGATCTTTTTTTTTTAATATATTTTATTGATTTTTTACAGAGAGGAAGGGGGAGGGATAGAGAGCTAGAAACATCGATGAGAGAGAAACACCGATCAGCCGCCTCCTGCACACCCCCCACTGGGGATGTGCCCGCAACCAAGGTACATGCTCTTGACCGGAATCGAACCTGGGACCCTTGAGTCCGCAGGCCGACGCTCTATCCACTGAGCCAAACCAGTCAGGGCTGATTTGATCTTTTATGATATGGAATCGTTCCTATTGAACATTATTTTCCTTTCTTGGCTTTCATATTACCATTTCCCTCAGTTTTCCCTTTTATTTCTCTAGCTGCCTTGCCCTCCCCCCCCCCCTTTTGGGTCTTTTGCTGTGAAAAAGGACCAGAATTCTTTCACTTCAGTCTATACATCTTCCGTGGGTGATCTCACCCGTTTGCCCAGCTTCCTCTAAGGGCAGTTAGCTGAGGATGTCTAATTTTCTAGATTCCTGGAGTTAGCTCCATGAGGACTGATGAATCCATGTCTTTCTCCTAAGCTCCTGACTTTGTGTCCACTGCCTACTGAACATCACTTGGATGTGCACAGGTAACTCAAATTCAACATACCCAAGCTCCAGTTAACTGCCTTCTTCTGATGACCTATCTTAGAAAATTCACCATCAGCTGTCTAGTCACCAACATTAACAATCTGTGCCCTGCTCTCATTCTGTCTCTCATTCCTCCTGGAACACACCTCGAAGCTTTACATGATGTCTCTTGTGCCTTCTTGCTGGGCCAACCTTTGGTCTTGCCCTTTAGATCTCAGTTTAAATATAGAAAGACTGACTCTAACACTTGCATTAAAGCTGGTATCCTTATCTTCACTATTTTTTCTCAGAGCTGCTTGTTTGCTCCTTGGTGACAATGATCACAATTGGCAAATATCTGTTTATATATTTACCTCTTTACTGTTTAGTCCCTCCGGCCAGATTATAAGTTTCAAGAAGGCAGAGGTCAAGTTTGTTTTGTTCATGGTTGTATCTCCGGCACAGAATATAAACTGGGCACTCAGTAAACAGCTATGGAATATTGAATGAATGAACAAATCCTCACCCAAATTCTGTCGCTTCTACTTTCCGTATAGCCCTTGAGTTTGCATCTTCTTTACAGAAGAGTCATGTCTGACTGGTATTTGTTAAATACTTTCCACGTGCCAGGCAGCCAGGAAAACAAAGATTTGTTGACTCAGGGTACGTAGTTATCACCCAGTAACATGAAAAATATCCAAGGGATTAATACAGGTTATTAAATATAAGGAATTGGAAAAATGTCTCCTTTACTTTTATCTTGTTTAAGGTGACGTCCCTTTCTTGAATATTTTTTCTGGTTTAAAGTACTTTGTAGATACTATCTCCTTATATCAGCATTTCTATGAAGTAAAGGACTATCATCATCTTTCCTGTTTTCCAGCTAATAAATGGGGAGTCAGACCAATGAGGCAACTTGCAGACCATTCACTGTCACATCTGCCCGACAGATGCTTTCTTGCTTCCCATGCTGTCTCAGTCTCTTCCTCTTTCCCTTTGGAATGTCCAACCTCTCCAGAGCCAGGCTCTGCTTAGAAGCACTTTGCAGACATGTTTTCATGTAGGTCTGATAGTTTTAGTGTGATTTCCACAGCAATAAACCGCACTGGCTGTGGCACAGTCCTGGGAAAGCTCCAAGCAGTGTGGGGCTGGCTGCTCCCCAGCCACTGCCTCAACTTTCCTCCCAACTTACTTCTCTTCAGGCCAAATAAATTAGACGCCTGGACACTTGGACATAAAACCAAAATGCCTACTTTCTGGAGCACAAAGGTAAGACCAAAGGGAAACGATCTCCCTAGCTCTTCCTCTCAGTGTTCTTCAGGATCTTCCCAGAGAGTTTAGAAAAAGGGACAGATTCAGGCCCAAAAGGTATGCTGGTCTGCTCTTTCCTTGGGGCCAGGTCTGGCTGCTCACAAGGAAAAAGCTGGAGAATGGCATCCGTCCGTCACAGTTTTGGACTGAATGTGACCTGTGCTATCACTGTAAGCAGCCGTGGGGTTCCTTTAATAGCTCTTGTCCCTCATTTCTAATATCACAAACAAATCTGAAACAATTTGCCTCTCAGTGGGTTTATTTGATATAGTTTATATGAGAGCTGTCTTATCAGGGTCTCCCTTCTCCATCATTCCCTACACTGTCACGGGCACCTTACCATATTACCACACCCCAAATCCCTATCCAGAGAGATAGTTACTTTCCTGATACAAAGATAAATAAGATGTAGTTTCTGGCCTCAGGGAACTCACAGGTGAATGAGTTCATCTACTACCTTGGCAAGACTTAAACTTCTTTTCATTCACTGGTTCAATAAACAGGTAATAAACACTTATGTGCTAGGTTCCTCCCTGGGCACTAGAGATACAAAGATAAACAAGATGTAGTTTCTGACCTCAGGGAACTCACAGATGAATGAGGAAGTCAGAAAACAAGCAATTATAAATTTTATAGGTGATAGAAGTACATTGAGATGGGAGCAATTAATATTCCCTAATGAAGGCCAAGAAAATCTTCTTAGAGGAACTGATGAGAGTTGACTATTGAGAGAATAAATCGGCATTTCCCAGGTCGACGGGGGGAGGGGTTGTCCAGGCTGACAGAGCAGCTCCAGAAACTTCCAGTAGTTTGGGAGGCCTGGAGGGCAGACACAGAGGGCCTTGCATGCCATGTTGAGTTTGAATGTTTTTGGTAGGCTGGTGTTTCTTAGCTTTTTGGCCTCCTTTAATGTTATTTAACATTTCAAAATAGTTCGTTTATAAAACACACAGTTGTGTATGGTGTTGCACATGCTTTAAAATCTGTACATTTCCTCTGTTCCTCCTGCAGGAGAGTCTCATAACCTCTCTTCCAAATCCCTGGCACAGGAAACGAGGCGGCACGGAAGGATGCATGGGGGAGGCAGATGCTAGGCCTGGTTCATTCATGATGCCAATCCCTTCCTAGCTGCTTCCTTACGCTACAGAACCTGGAGGAAAGCCCAAGGTGCTTTCCTAGATTTCCTCGAAGGCAAGGGTCTGAATGTTTCTGAGGCCGCATCAAATTCACCTGCCATGTGAAACCTCAAATGCGTTCGGAACTATGTAGGAATAATAACGGTGCTTGGGGGCTGGGGGGCTGGGACACAGGTTCTATTGTCTGGGGCCCTGATGTCACAGTCCTAAGTGGCGGGGGATAACTTCAGGGGTTTTTTCAGGTTTAGCCCTGGGGGAGTTTTATGATACTTCTCTTCACATCTCTAATTTCCGAGAAAGTCTATAAACTCCCTAAAAGCCAGGTGATAGGTCCCTTTTCTGCTTTAAA